TTAAAGCAGTTTTTAATTTTTTAATAAGCAATTTTAAGGTCAAAATTATTAGCTCCTAGCTATATATATATATGTCAGTTAAAGTCAGAATTAATAGCTACATATATATATATATATATGCATGTATGTATGCATGCATGTATGTGACTCTCTACACCAACCCAACGATTTGAAATGAAGTAAACAAGCTTTAACTGCAGACTATCAGCTATAATAGGAGGGTATTTACATTCAAACAGGTATTTATTTATTTAATTCATTATTATTCTTTGAATTACATATAAAAACTATTAGCCAAAGTTCTCATGAACATCAAAGGTCTTTAATAAATGCAAGGCTTTTCAGTGAACTGGTCAAATAGTTGCATTTGACTTCCATAGTGGTATAAAAATACCATGGAAATCAATGTTGACCGTCAACTGTGAATGGAAGTCAATGAAAGTTCAAAGTTGTCATTATTTTCCATGTACACACACACACACATTTATATATATTGTATATATATATATATATATATATATAAACTAATCCTCTATTGTTGAACTTTCTTTTGTTGAATATAGTAGATATTTAAAAAAATGTTAATATGTGAACAGTTGACGAATCATTTGGTCAAACAGTCGCCATTGACTTCCATAGCAAGAAAGAACATACCATGAAGTTAATGGTGACCATCAACTGCAAAGGAACTCTGGAAGTCAGCTACTGCTTTCAGTATAAAGTGTGTGTGAATAGTGAAGCATCAGTGTAATGGACTGTCTGACTTCTGCCGTATCTCTTCAGGGCTCAGTCGTATGCCGAGCGTCTGCGTCTCGGCCTGGCTGTCATACATGGGGAAGCAGAGTCCGACATGGCAGACGGCAGACACTCTCCTCCATGTGTGCGCAACACCATCGGGCATCCCGGCCTGGAGCTGCCATGTAAGAGCACCACACTACGGGCACAATGCTGCTGCATAAACACTACATGATATTAAGAGTTTACGGCAGGTTATAAACACAGACCAGACCAGCAGGTGACTGGGTTTCTCCCAGTGCTAGTAGAAGGAACACGTCATGCTCATATTTCACTCTAAAATCAAAAGAAAAAATCCTTGGCAATAGTTATTCTTTATTTTGTTGAGAAGTAGAGATACATTTGCATGACTGTGATTATTGATGTTATTCTAAATTATTAAATTTGGAAAAAAGTGCAGTATTAAAGTGGGAAATTAACCATTGGACACCACTATAATAGTCTGCGCTAGAAAGCTGCTCAAAATACTGCTCAAGCATTTTTCGAACTTCCTGCTCATCTTGGTTGTCAGATGTCTGCTCTCTGCACGCTTACCGCGTTCACCTGAGATTAAGTTCACACATGCTATGAAGTTTGCCACACCTGCGAATCGCACACTTCATAGTTCATTCACAAAATATGTCAAAGCATCTACGCTCGCCAGAGGACAACAGCCAGTCACATGACATTTACAGGGGTGCGTAAATGTGATTGGCTAGCATTTGCTCTAGGGTTTTTTCAATTCAATTCAATTCAGCTTTATTTGTATAGCGCTCTTACAATGTAGATTGTGTCAAAGCAGCTTCACATAAATGGTCATAGTAACTGGAACCGTGTGGTTCAGGTTTTAGTGTTTAAGTTCAGTTCAGTTCAGCTCAGTTCAGTGTGATTTAATCATTACTGAGAGTTCAAACACTGAAGAGCAAATTCATCGATGCGTAGCTCTACCAATCCTGAACCATGCGAGGCAGTGGCGACAGCGGAGAGGGAAAAAAAAACTTCACCTGATGGGAGTGAAGAAAAAAAACCTTGAGAGAACCAGACTCAGTTGGGCACGACCATTTTAATTTCTCCGCTGGCCAAAAGTCTTGTGCAGAGCTTCAGTCGCCGTGGTGGTTTTTGCATGAAGTGACCTAACTGACATATGTTTGATTTAAAGTTCACATGGATTTTGACAAGAAAAATAACACTTTAAAAATTACCTTAAATAATCCAAGGGCAGTTTCATTCAGTGATTAACCTCCTTGTGTAAAGCTGCCATGTGGTTCAAGTCAAAAAATTTGTGATCTGCATAGCGCGACTAATCAACCTCGGTCAAAATGTTAATATATATATATATATATATATATATATATATATATATATATATATATATATATATATATATATATATTAGGGGTGTCAAAATTAATCGTTTCTTCGGTGCACCGCGATGCAGACGCGGACAATTCGGTATCGGTTCAGTAATAATCATAACCGGTTATTACTGACGTCATTTACCTCATATGCGCTCTGTCGCGAGGGAGGCGAGCGCGAGTATTTACGACGCTCTAACTACTTAAAACTCTTAACTGTGCACAATTTCACTGTGTGTGGGATCAGTCTTTCACTGACATATACAGCAAAAAAGCCCCTATTTCACTGGGATCGAGAGAATGAAAGTACTCCATTTCTCTCTCTTTCTCTCTCTATCTTTCTCTCTCTCTCTCTCACACACACACACACACACACACACGGTGGCCCATTTGACCTGCTGGCGTGGCTTTTCTTCTCCTCTCGGCTGTTCTACAGCATTACTTCTGGATACAGAAACGAGCGCGTGTCTGCAAAAAGGTATAAGAGAACTAGACAAGGATCAGAAAGTGAGCTGGATATTTATATTTATTGATATTATTCGCTAATTGCTCGTATTGTTAAAAGGTACAGTTTATCTGACTGTTTGTATTAAATGACAAAATTGTATTACAAATAGTATATAAATATACATATTCATTTATTTTAATACAAGAACTGCTGCTGTGAAGAAAATAAAAAACTGTTTTTGAAAAGCACCGTCAATGCAACGTGATGCATCGAAATATCGAATTGAACCGAATCGATGGCATGATTATCGTCACCGAACTGTAGGTTGTGTAGGTTCACAGCTCTAATAAATATATGAGTGTATATATATATATATATATATATATATATATATATATATATATATATATGTATATACGTGTGTGTATATATGTATATATATGTGTGTATATATGTGTATATATGTGTGTATATATGTATATATATGTGTGTATATATGT